AGTCTGGGGATTCCGCATCAGAGGAATCCAGGAGTGGCGAAACCCCAGTGGGCAGAAGGACCCTGCGGAAAAGGAAGGAGAGAAAGAGGTGGAGCAGCGCAAGTCTCTTAAATTGGTGCAGGGGAGGAACTGACTCAGAGGGGACTTCGGTGGTCTAGCGTAAAAGACGTAAGGCTGCGCACCTAGGATGTCAAGCAAACCATGAACTGCAATAAACACTTTTGTATATAAGAAGACAGAGGCGTTGGTCTTTTGTGAGCTAAGACTTGAGGCAGCCTTGACAAAAGGTTTTTAGAATGTTGGATTATTTTGATTTAGCTGGGGAGGGCGGGGTATAAATAAAATTTATTGTTGTTGTTGTTTCTTTTCTGTTCTGAACTTCTTGCCTGGGCCCAGAGCTCTTCACTCTGTCCTCGTGTTTTGGGTGAGAGTCAGGACAGATTGCCACAAGAGCTAGAAAGCAGCTACTAGAATGCTTGTGGGAATTAGAACATAATTCATTGATACTATACCGGTTGTGTTGGCTATGTATCAGCTTCTGGGCACAATTTAAAGTGTTGTTTTTTGCCTTTAAAGCCCTAATCCACAGTCTGTGGCAGTTTTTGTCAGTTTACATTTCTTGGTGCAGAAAGTATTGATCTGATGTGTAGAGATCTTTCCTATTCTAATTAATTCAAGAGGGTTCTGGAAGCTTCTCCGTGTGAAAGAAACAAGCAAAAGGTTCAGGATGTTTGGGTCACTCCTTCAGAGAAGCCGAGTACAGCTGGCTTAAACTGGTTCTGTTATCTCTTCTGTTAAGGTCATGATTATTATAATAGTAAGGCCAGAAGGAGCCTAGGATTCACTTTCTCTTTCCATCTCTCCTTCTGGTGTGGTGCTCTGTATATAGTGTTAAGGTTTAGTCTTATTATAAGTTATTGTAAGTTTAAGTCAAGTCTGCTGCAATTGGACTTCTTATGGACAGTGCCGATCCGGAATGTATTGGATTTGTGACCATTATGCTCATTTGCCTTTGGCAGCAGTAAAGCTCTGCTGGATAGTAGTAATAATAAATAATATTTATTTATTTATACCCCGCCCCTCCTGGTTCAGAAAACCGGGCTCAGAGTGGCTAACAACAAATTTAAAACACTTAATTGTGATACAACAAAAAACAGCATAAAATACAGTATAAAAGTGTGAATAACAATAAATTCAAAAATAAAAAATCAGTTTAGGGGAAAATCCATCCAATAAACATTAGATGATCACCAGGGCTAGCTGGCTAAATTAGTCCTATGAAATACAATTGCCTCTGGTCTATTTTTGGGGAAACCTGCAAGATGTTTAAGTTTTTACTCTGCTAACTATACGTTGGAATCTGCTCTGGATCAATATTGAGCAGAATTTCGTGACAGTTTTGGCATTTCCAGACAATCTAGTTAAACTGGGTTCCTACAAAGCTGCTGAAGGGTTAATTCAGCATTTGGGGGGACAGTGGGCTGCAGTAGTGGTTGGTGGTGCAGAGTGGGGTGTGGTGGCACTGCTCAAGACTGGCTTCCCAATGTGGAGATCACTGCTAATAACCAAGAGGGGGAGAGTAGAGGAAGTGGTGGGGTCAGTGTGGTGTGGAAAGAGCAGTGGGGTCTGTCCGTCACCTTTGTCCTCTTGGTTACCCTCAGCAACCTCCACCTTTGGAAGCCGGGTGAGCAGGGCCAACCCACTCCACCCTGCTCCATCAACCACTGCTGGTTAATTGAACCCATTCTAACAGATGACAGGTTTGAGAGCTTGAATACCCGGCTGAGGACTAGTGATATTTCTCACTCTTCTAATAGACAACCAATTATCATCTCAAGATGAATACATGGCTTACCCACAACACTGATCCCCCCCCAACTTATCACTTTTCCAGAGTTTTACATGTGTTGGGAGCCTGTGTTCCTCTCTCATTCCACACTACCCTTTACTTACCTCAGCCAACGTCCTTTCATGGTGCTCTGCTGAATCGCTCCCAATAAAGTCGTTCTTCAGCAAATCTTGCTTTGCGATCACATCTTTCTGAAACAGCATGAACTTGCGAAACTGGTCCGTTCTGGTCACACCAGCCAAGTAAGAAGGAAAGAATTGGTATTCATCTTTCGTCTCCTCCATGGCACAAAGCCGACTGTTGATTGTCGGTTTGTATTTCAACGTTCTCATCTCTGGAACCTCCAGCTCTTCCCTGATAAGTTGCCCTTGAAAAATGCCCAGTTCCTCCTTTGCCTCCTCAGCATCCTTCTTTCTTTGCTGTTTGAAAGATGTGGAATTGAGGGAAGTGCTCACTGGAGATCTGTAGCTGGCCTTGAATGCCCGAGGTTGAAAACATGACTGAGAAGCAGATTTGGCACGGGTGGGTGTGGGTGTTGAGTCCACACAGCTGCTCAAGGTAGCTTGTGTCTTTCTGGATACCACACTGGATGTTGTGAAATTGGTTCTTTTTGTGAGGATTAGTGCAGATTTCTTGGCACTTTCCCAAAAGTTGTTCTTGATCCATTGCTGGGGCTTGTAAAGCTTGTCATGGTTCAGGTGGCCAGAGGTGTAAAGCTGAATGTCAGCTTTGTGGGCCTTTTCCATTCTGTCTAAGAGGTCCTTGAGGCTGCTTTTTTGGTTCTCGCCTGCCATGAGGAATGTTCGTCGCTGTGCATACAAACAGAATGGTCAGGTCAAGCAAAAGAAAGCAAAACACTCATCTAAGTGTCTCTTGTCTTCCGTCAAGAGTTCTGGAAGTATTTTGGTTCACACTGGATATCTGGATGCTGTTGACCTAACCCCACCACACTATAATGCCTCTCCTTTAGGAAAAAAGCACCGCTCCCAGCCAAAACAAATGCTCCCTTTATTTTGCACCTCTCTTCCCCAATTCATTCTCCAGAGGACTGTTTGTCACACTGGACTATATAGGCAAAAATGCAGTCAGAATGAGTGTGAGAAGAAAGGTTTTCGCTCACTGGCCAAACCTGTGCACAGAGTCTGTGTACATAAAAACAAAAATGCAGAGTACAGGCTGCTTGCATATAAGTTGTACCCATACGATCTGTTGTACACATAGGATCCGTATACAGCTTTGTATGAACACAGATGTTTGAGATATGGCCAATGGTTGCCCCACTTTCCATGTGTTTATTCTATCTATATTGTCATCTGCAGCGAGCTATTGCATTTAGTGAATACATGTCATAAGAACTGCATGGATGTTTTGTATATGTCCTTAAGCCTGTCCTGCTACGATGGCTATTTTACTAGGGACCAGTAGGCTGACATGCATCCAAATGCACTTTCAGGTGGTAAAGCTAGATTGTTGTTATTATTCAAAGAAGGGCTACTTGAAAAAAGCAAAGACAAATGAATGCCTTTTGTTTAAATTTCAGACTAACATGCCAGCTATGCTACTCGCATTTCTCAAGGTGTAGGGTGTTTGGGCAAAATGAAGAATCACTACTTGTGCTATGTGGGAAATAGCATCCACTTGGGAATGAAGGCTGGATCAAGTTATAGGATTTAATGGAAATGACAACAACAACAACAACAACAACAACAACAACAACAACAACAACAACAACAACTTTATTATTTAAACCCCACACATCGGGCTGGGTTTCCCCAGCCGCTCTGGACAGCTTCCAGCACATATAAAAGCATAATAAAATGTCAAACATTAAAATCTTCCCTGATGCAGGGCTGCCTTCAGATGTCTTCTAAAAGTCTTTAAAGCCAGCCAAATCAGTGGGATATAAATAATAAAATTATTATTACTTATTCTAAGTGGAAGGGTGGAATGTGTGCCCATCATATCCTTTAGTCAGCCTTTTAGATCCCTAAATAGCACCCACTGTCTGGTACAGGGTCTGCCTGCCCATCCTGTGTGTTGTGGCTTGAAGTGTTCCACAGTGGAAAGACCAATGTTCCTTTTCTGCTTAGATCATGATCTCCATTGCCTCCAGACGCTGCATAGATGATCCTTTCCCTCCTGGCCAAGGATTGGTTGAGGAATGGTCCATGTGCAAAGGTAAAAAAATAAAAAAAAACGACCTCTGGATGGTTAAGTCCAGTCAAAGGTGACTATGGGATGCAGCGCTCATCTCACTTCAGGCTGAGGGAGCCAGCGATTGTCCACAGACAGCTTTACGGGTCATGTGGCCAGCATGACTAAACAGCTTCTGGTGTGACGGGGCACTGTGATGGAAACTAGAGTGCACGGAAACGCCGTTTACCTTCCCGCCACAATGGTACCTACTGTATTTAGCTACTCGCATTGGTATGCTATTGAACTGCTAGGTTGGCAGGAGCCAGGACAGAGCAACAGGAGCTCACCCTGCCACACAAATTTGAACCGTCAACCTTCCGACTGGCAAGCCCAAGAGGCTCAGTGGTTTAGACCACAGCACCACCCACTCTCTTTTGGTCCATGTGGCCACCACATGTTATGTTGGAATTCTGAGCTTCAACATGATTTCTGAGTTTCCTACCAATAAACACTTTTCAATCACTTAGAAAACAGCAGAGGTTCAAAACATAGCAAAACACTACACATTTTATTGCTTGGGTCATCTTATAAGAAATTACCTATAAATACACCAGCATGGCTAAGTACAAGAAACTTATTTTTTAATTTAAATATAATGGAAGAAAAATAAATTAACAAGTAGCAGTCTTTCAAGAAATTCCAGCTTCAAGTAAGCAAGATATGTGTTGTTGTTTTTTGTGGCATCTTGCTTTTACTGTTTACTCATTCAACACAATTCCTTACTTGTTCAAAACAGGAAAAAAACTCCCAACAATTACTCTAACAAACCCGATTACTAAAATGCATTTAAACTGCGCACTAACTTACATTTCACAAACTCCACAAAGTATAAGACGTTAACTGCTGCTTTTATGCTGGTTCGTTCCCAAGGAAACCAGTCAAACATTCCAAGTTCTATTTAAACTGCCTGTGCTTGTTAAACAACAATGCATGCGTGACCAGGCCTGATCAGAAGCAAAATCCCAGTTCCTGGATATTCCACGAGATAATCTTTATTTGCAACAGAGGATATTTTAACTTCTTAATGGTGAATGGTGAGTCCAACTTCTTTGTTTGAAAGGATAGCTGGTTGAAAAGTGTTGAATATAGCAAACTTTCCAAGATAGGATTGCCTGCGGTAGTTTTTTCAAGTTCTGAATTCATAATATACAATATGTGTGCATCAAACACAGTAACTTTAAGGTGTGGTGCAAAGTAAGGTAGAGATGAATGAGAGGCAGGATGGTGGTCAAAAGAGCCGAAAAATGCCACAGCAGCAGAAAGAAGAGTTTCCAAGCTGCTTATATTGTTATGATCAACAATCAGAACAAAACTAATGCTGGATTTTTTGAGCACACAAAAATGCTTCCGTGTGCTTAACATCATACAGCAGTCCTCTCAAATTAGCAAGAAAAGTGAGTTTGATTATGCACCGATATTGAACTATTTATGCAGCTCCCCCTATAGACACATAGAGAGGGAGAGTACACAAACTGAGCAGAGGTTTCTGTTCCCACTTCTCCCCAGAAATTGTAATAAAAATGAACACAAGATGCTTTTTATAAAAAAATCTCTGTATTCAGTAATATTCACAACATGTATATATGTATATGTCTGTATAATTCAATTAAAATTATGAACAATTCTAAATATTTAATGTATCATACATATATTTATATGTATAATTACATATCCACAGAAGATGCCTTGCTGCATTACAGCCAGCTGTTAAAGCAGAAATAGGATTCACTATAGGACTCCAGATATGCATATGTTCTGGCTGTTTGGTTTTGCAGACTTATTTACAACTTATCTAGACCATAATAAACCATTTATGTTCTATTGTACAAACATAATTGTAAAGATTTGAGATCGTTTAAATACAAAGACTGCAAATGAATACATGAAAATATTACATACCATATACAGTATTTATAATTCATAGATGCAAAGTTAAGACCTATTTAAATTATTGCACTTGCATATTTTTTACAAAGTTTCCTCAGCATTATACATAACTTCCCACCTGAACTCCTTAGATATAATAAAATTGGATAGTGTTGCCTCTGAAGTTTTTTTCTTCCCAGAACAAACCACCAGAACCTGGAAAAACATGGATCTAAATCTACAAACCAGTTACGTTATTAATGTATGGAGTAAAAGGTAAAAGTAAAGGTACCCCTGACCATTAGGTCCAGTCATGGATGACTCTGGGGTTGCGGCGCTCATCTCGCTTTATTGGCCGGGTCATGTGGCCAGCATGACTAAGCCGCTTCTGGCGAACCAGAGCAGCGCACAGAAACGCCATTTACCTTCCCTCCAGAGTGGTACCTATTTATCCACTTTCACTTTGACGTGTTTTCGAACTGCTAGGTGGGCAGGAGCAGGAACCGAGCAACGGGAGCTCACCCCATCGTGGTGACCTTCTGATCGGCAAGCCCTAGGCTCTGTGGTTTAACCCACAGCACCACCCGTACCCAATGTATGGAATACACTCCCATATTACAATCAAGCACAGTTTTTTGGTCAGCAAACTATGAAAATTACTCTGGTGTGCCTTTGATCGGTTGTTATATTAGAACTATATTCTGTGTCTCCTAATGCCAATTTAGGGAGAATGACTTGTTGTCCTCAGAACAAATGTAGTTGCCTTACACATTGCACAACAAGGGGACTGCATCACAGTGCTTTTAAAACTTGCCAGAACCACGTGGAGACTTACAGGTCATCTACTTTTTTTTATGAAAACAAATGCCTTACATATTCTATATAGCTTTAGCACTCACTGAGCAAGTGACTCGCCGACCCGTTAATACAAACCAGAGAATACAGAATTTTGTCAAATTATGTGCTTCACAATCGATTCCATTGGTACAACCGCTGTGCTCCCCCAGCGTCAACCATGTAAACTGCAGTGACATTGGTATGGGGAGGGGCAGCTCCTCAGCCCTGCCCCATTATGTCATCCACTGCACCATCTATTTGCATTTGTGGCCTCTGTAACCTTTTTTCCTCTAACTTCTTCCACAAATGGTTAACAGCTTGCGGCCTCTTTCAACTTTTATTTAGGCGAAATGATTCAGGGTGGCTCCAAATGTGACACAAATGACGAGCAAGCATCTACTTGCAGGCTGAAGTTTGGACTGGGACAATGCCATGTGACCCAAAAACACGCCTACTTGCAACAAAATCCCAGGAGATGGAAGGCTATGCATGTACTTAATATAAGCATGTAAATTTTACACTGTAAAAAGATAGCAGTTACGTAATACTGCCAAGAACATTAAATGACTTCAATCTACCTAACTTCTGAGACTCTTTTATATTGTAAAAAGGAATACAACTCAATTCTGGTTAAAAGTTGCTGTGGAGGAAGGGATAGAACATAAAAGGATAGATATATGTATATATACCTAAACCATAAATTAAAAAAATTCAGTGCCAATGGCAGACAAGAGTAAAGTGCATCTGCTGATCATCTGCAGGCAGCCTGCGATTCTGCCATCCATGGAACCACTGCGTATGTGAGTGCAACCTATTTCCATAATAATAATAATAATAATAATTTATTAAATTTGTATACTGCTCTTCATCCGTAGATCTCAGGGCAGTTCACAACTTAAAAATAAAGGAAAAAAACACAAAATACGTAATAGACATGAACAAAAACAAACCAATAACCACCCCCCCCCTTTCAAATGTGAGTCATCATTATGGAAATAGGTTGCCCTCACTTGCAGATGGTTTGTGTAGTGCCCATACATACCAAACAACTCCTAACATGGTCATTGGGTGCATAGATATCAAGCTGCACCATATGTACCATTGCCACTACAGTGTGAACCAGCCTGAAGTCTGAATATTTGGCAATTAAAAAAAAATTAAAATATCACATATATGGAACTGTTTCTTGCATTACTAACTCTGTCATTTTTCTAGGGTGTGTGCGTGCATACTGTGCATAGAAATGCTTTGCATTAATCAGAAAAAATATATAAGACATACATAGACACATATATGCAGTTGTCCGAATGAACAAAATCTGATCATACTAGTTTATGTTCTTTCTTTAATAGGGACTCGGTTCTGCTGGGCAGCAATGCCCATATATGACAATAAGAATGATTAAAGTGAATCAGCAGAAGACCTTTACCCTTAGGGCAGTGAAGTCAACTGGATCCATTCAACAAACTGGGTCTTTAAAAAGACCCCCCAAATCACAGATTTAAATCTAAATGTTTTGTGTAAAACAAAGGCTCAAACATATTTCTGCAATTATATTTCTGACCAGATAGTGCACATTTACATACAAACTTGTAACAGTATTTGCTGTTAAAGCAAATCTTTTTGGAAACCCATTTGATTGGGGGGGGAAAGATAAATATTTTTGGGCTAATGCAGCATTGTGAACAATGTACTGACAGTACAGTCTGTACAAAATGTTGAACAACAATGAAAAAGTCAGCACTGTCTATTAGTCAGATAAAAACTAACAGATATTATGCTAAAGCAACATTGCCTCAAATCTACCATAGGATCTATGTATGTGAACTGTAAAAAGAGTAGTTTATTCTGCACAGGGCATTGGCGAGAATGAAGTCTGCTTCTAACAGTCCTCCATAATGGCAAGGGTTCACTCTTAATGATTGTGCTATATTTAAAGTTTTGCAGCAGCAACAGCAGCAACAAAAAAGTACTCCGAGAATTATAGCATGTGATTCTATTCTCAAGTAATGAACTTGGCACACCAGTTCTTTTCAGGGTTATTAGACCATCTCTCAGATATCAACCTGCATAAAGATATTCTCACAGTACCTTCCATTTCATTGTCACACTGTTGAGGATACATCTAAGCAGCAATAGAAAAAGCACTAGTAAAGTGTCCCCTACCGCTTCTTCACATGCATGTCTTAAATCAGGGGCGGTGACTCTTGAGAGCTGCATTTCCTGTTGGCCATGCCTACAAGGGTTGCATTGCAGTGGTGCACATGACCACAAAAGTAAGCAGGCCAACATGGACATGGCCATTCCACAGTCACACACACGCCACACACACATCACACACAGCATGTGATTTGTGCAGATCAGGCCTATACGTTGTGGACATTTTATGTACAGTCATTTAAATGTTACATACAGTACATAAATGGCAGCCAGGCCCATAGGAAAGTGCAATCTTGCTCCCTCGCCACTCATAGACTTTACACACCTGGGAGATTTGAGAGAACAGTGTAAGATAAAGGGAAAAGAAAAGGATATACTAGCTCAAAATTCATTCAAGTTAACAACAGAACTTGCTGAGGTCAGAGGAGTGAGGTTTAAACTCAATGGCTTATTTATACATCCTACATGCCTATTAAGGTTAATATGTTTGCACTAGGTCTGAAACTCAATTCTGCAAAGAAGTATACACTGACTTCACATAATGTAATTATTTGCAGAATAGGGGCCCAAGTTAGTACAGACCTTCATTCACAGTATTCAAGTGCAAGGGTTTCCAAATCACTCTCTGGTTAAGAAGGCAACCTGCTTACAATACTAAGGAGGGTGTTTTTTGTTTTTGTTTTTTGTTTTGTTTTTTAAAAGCTCTCAGTTGTTTGGGAATTCAAATGGAAGGGCAGAACAGAACGCACACAGTACAAGTGAGCAACACAAAACCTAGTTTCATTTACTGTGATGGTACCATGAAAACTTTTGTCTGGAAGGTCCTGTTTTTTGTGGATTAGTTGGGATTTGGAGACTTGTCTCTAATACTTGCTAAAATATAAATTTAAATACCTGGCAGATTTCTGTTGCCAAATTTGAAATTTAAGCCCATTACTCTTACTAATGTTGACAGGAAGGCCTCTTAGTACCTTACAGGACAACTACATCTCTACTTATCAGAGGCACATATTCTATTATTTCCATTGTAAAAATGGGCACATATTGTAGCTGATGACATCACTTTGAAGAACCATAGGTCACACCCAGGGCTTTTTTTCAGGGAATGCACAGGAACCCAGTTCCAGCACCTCTCAAGTGGGCACATTGCCATCATAAGAGAACATGGGAGGTGTCCATGGTAAGCTCTGGCACCTCTTTTTCTAGAAAAATAGCACTGGTTATACCTTTCAAATGTTTAACATGTTTGCAGTAGAGCAGTGTTCCATGATGTAAACAGAATAATTTCTGGAGTCTTCTATCTGGATGTTAAATTCCTCTTCCCCCACACACATTTGCAGCAAGATTAATTCAAGTACTGTAAACTCAAAGATAGTTTCAGTCCCAGATATTTTCTGGTAGCGTCTGAGCTGATTGCACAGAGATCAAACATAAACATTACAATAACAATGTGGAAATGTCCTATGTATAGCCAAGAACTCCCCAAGTGAAACTGGCATTAA